TTTTTGCTGATAAGTCGATTTTACACGGTTTAACGAAACCGACCTCTCAGAGATGCACAGCCGATATTCTCTCACGGAGAGCAAGTGTACATCTAGCGCGTCTGTCGGACGGACAGTCGCCTGGGTGATTCATCGCCGGCCGTAATTAACGCGCGGTTGATGGCGAGATGGCTGATCAACGATTAAATAAGACGCGCAAAAGGGAATAATGCGGCGAGAGAAAACGGTCGTTAGATAAATCCACACGTCTCTTTCCGCGGAACCCGCTCGTGATCGCCGTTAATCTTAACTTCTGTGAATTATTCTTTATTAATGGAGCATACACATAACTTGTTTCCTCGTTCACGATCTCGGAGACTCCAAGTGCTCGCGATGGAACGATCTCTTTCTGGTAACGCGCGTCACAAAAGTTCTAATTAATCGTTGAACTTCCAGTTTGAGAATTCAGATAAAAATGAAAGTCACAGAGCCAGCTGGTTCGCAACGTTCGGGTAGCCTCGGTGCAGGAAATTCGCGCGCTAATTAACGAAGTGACGCTCCGGATGATACTGTGCGCGCTCTTGACGAGCTGTTAGCTCACGGAGAAGCTTCCCTTGTTTTCGGGCGAGCGTTTAGCCAAGAAGAAGGAAAAAGACTCCGGGCTCCGTCGTCGTGGCGCCCGAGGTGTGGCCGGCGCCTCCGCGAAGAAGCGCCAAGTCACACTGCATCGGGGCGTGCGAGCGAGCAACAAAACTTTAAGCGGGCACTTAAGAAGCAGGCCGTCAGGAGCGTCACTAATTTTCCCGGCTTTTTGCTGCTCCCGCTCTCCTCTCTCTCTCGCAGGCTCTCTCGTCCTCTATTCTGCTCCGCTCTCCTCTCTCTTGGCGCGACGATACGGTCGCGGCGCACGCGTGCCTTCGCCGTCGGTTTTCTCTCACTTTCGTCTCGATGAAGCGCGCGGCCGAATATCAACGTGCCGGAAATTAACCTTTGGTTGATCTCGAGCCTTTGTGAATCAAAATGAACACTTTATTAAATATTTTATTAATAAAAAAAAAACTATAACATTTTTTAGAAACAACCTTGTATTATTCCTCACAATCTTAGAATTTTTATAGGAAAATGGGAAAAATATCTTTGTGGACCAGAAAATGGCATTAAACATTTTATTAATAGAAAAAAAACATTTTTAAGAAACAGTCTTGTATAATTCCTCATAATTTCAGGTAGCCGTTTTTTGATAGGAAGATAGGAGAAATATATCACTTTAACCTCATTTTGTACCGCATTAAAAGAAAGTTGTTTAGCACTTCTCAAGTGTCCGCGACTACTGCAAGGTTAATTAGCGTGATTGGCTTTGCTAACCACGTCGTGGATTTTATGAATTTCCAAGGTATCGCACAAAACTGAGTATTCGAAATGCACGTCGCGCCGATTCGCACAGCACGTGCATTACATGGCACTTTGTAGTGTTCAATAGCACTTGCGATATTCAGCGGCCAATATAAGCCCTCTCAACTAGCTTGATTAATCTGGCACGAGTAGCCGGATGAGTAGTGGCGCCACGCGGGAATTGTTAATAACAATCGTTCGCTCGATTACTAAAAATCCGCGATGAAAACTCTTGGCGGCGCGAAGGAGCGCTTCATCCTGCGTGCGAATGAAACGTTGTTGAACGTACGCGTTTTCAATTCGACACGCACGAGCTGACGAGCAAAGTCGGCGTCGTTGTTCGGCGCGACGGCGAACATAACGCGAGCTAGAATAACGAGCTGTCTATAACAGCAATTCGCGCGGCACAAAGTATTCTGTATCAAAAGCGACTCTTAATCACCGTAGTCCATTACGCCGATTCGACATAATGAGCGAGCAAACTGCCGACTGTAGAAATAAATAGCCGTAACGATTACACGCGTTCGCGGTTGCGATATGCGTGGGGAGAGGCCATCGTGATATGGGAAACGAACAGCGTCTCTTTGAGGAAAAGAGGAGAAAAAGAAAAGAACTATCGTGGTCTCGGCGGCACGCAATTACGCTTGAAAAATTGAACGGCCACCGAAATGCAGGTAGTCTTTCACGATCGGAGCGCCGTAACGCTTGGCAGCCCCGCTGCCTGTCATTACGCCATTCGCTCCACCGGTAATTGACAGTCTAATGACACAGTCTAGAGTCCGGCGCTCGCCTCGACTCGTCTCGCCTTTTCGTACATCGTACATCACGATCTACGAGGATCCTCATTAACGATTCGCCTTCTTTGTGCGCGATCGGCCGCTTGTCTAAACTAAACGGCCGCCCGGCGAAGTCGCGAAGTCATGACTTGTGGGTGTTCCCTGCTAATCATCGCGCCGTTCGGCACGGCGAGAGAAACAAGAGGGTATTGATAATTAGTGGAATTAATTTGGGCGACCGGCGGATCTCGCGAAAGTCGAGCGCGAATACGTGTATGAGGCTGAATTTTTACCCGACCTCTCTCGTCGAGAATGTCCACACCGCAGAGAAAAAGCACAGATGCACAATTGAGATGTTATAGAGCTACTTGAAATCTCTAGGATTGAAAAATAATTAGTAGAGCAATGGTTTCTTTAAAATGGAATTCCTAAGAGTGGGAATCTAATTACTGTAATAGTGCTTTCTTCATAGTGCAATCTCGTTGCTGGAAATATCTCCGTTAGTAGAAAATGGAAAGAAGAAGTTACGAATATCTCTTGGCAATGTTTCTTGCTAGTTTATCACTACACAAATAATGTAGTAAAGAAGATCGCTACATGGTAAGCACTTCAAGTGATACGAAGATGTTTAAACCGCGAGAGTTAGAACTTTCTACAGCATTAGACTCAGACGGAGCGTATCGCAGCGAATTTCTTGAGCTATTCGTAGTGTATGCCTTTTTAATTTTTTTCCGTAAACTTTTGGCACGGTGTATGTGTGGACCGAACAACGAGCTCGATGAGTAGAAAGAGGTGCGCGTCGCGTCAAAATCACGGAACTGCAGGCGACCACTGGATGACTTTGTAAAATCGCTTTTACAAAGGACGCCGCGGAAGATTGTGAAACCGATTCTAACCGCCTAGTTTTACTTTCGTAAGCGAGCCCATCGACATATCTGAAACAAGTGGTGTGGCGAACTAGAAGCTCGCAGAAGAAGTGCTCTAATTCGTTTCAGGTTCGTCACGTGCATTCTCCTTTTCAATATCGGTGTATTTTAATATCTACGAATGACTTCGAAAAAAGATGTGTAAAATCAAAATCTTTATTCGATTTCACGAAATATCTGAAAACTATCGTAAGAAATATTTTAATCGCGCATTCCTGAAGCTTAATTAGATTTGAGAATCTAATGCGAGAATATCGAGATCACAACAGTTTTTGAGAGTTATGAGTTATGAGTGATCAAAATTGATCAGTGATATTTCATAGATTTCGTGTGCTCAGAACTACGTGTAATTATACGCAACCGCATGTAACGATTCGTCATCTGTTGTTTATTGTCGCAACTCAGTTGATATCGATTTTAACAGGTCAGTTGATTTTGTATTTCACTTTCTTACACATAAATACTATTGTAAGCTGTGGCAAACAGCTGAGATGCTGACACATTAATTATTGATAATAAGTCGTGTTTATTACGCACTGGGAAATTATTTGATCCTTTGATTTAAAACAAAAATTTAGATAATTGATAAATTATCATAATTGGAAAGAATCATTAAATTTAATATTCACTTGATCTTCTTGTAGCATAAAAATCAGTCTTGGCATGCTCGCGTTAAAATTCTTAAATCTAATTTAACTCCAGAATGTGCAATTAAAATATTGCACGATACATTCAATATGTTTCAGGCAAAATGTGTTGTAGACATTATTAAATCTTTTATCATAAATTATAATTGTTTTTCTCTTGTTTTATTCTTAACGTGATTTTCACGCGTAATTCTGAAGGAGCTGTTCAAAGTGAATTAGAATGAAATTTATACCAGTACGTCGTACAGATTGGTGTTGCCGTCATGGTTAAACGCAGATTTCGATTTTATCTTGTTAATTGAATGGATAGATTGCATATCGAAATAACTGGCACAGTCCGTGAAAATCAGCATAGCAATTAACGTGCCATTAGCTTACTATCAGCAATCGAACTTGAAAATATTGATACTTATGCGTCGAGTCGATCTGTACCATTTTCCTCGGCTTATTAAAGTGTCGACCGAGACAATATTCTTAAGATCGAGTCTGGTCTGGAAACCGGTAACGAAGGCGCATGACTCTCGAGATATTTACTCGGGTTTTGGCCAACGATCCTCGCATTTAACCACGTAAACAACGCCTTTGTTGCCCGCCGCGATTTCCATTTACGGATTCGACACGCGCCAGCACAAAGGAATACGCCGCCATGCTTCTGAGACGGAGGATCGTGATGAGAGGCTTTCTATCCGATATTCACAATGTAACGCGAGCATCGAGAGGACGATCGATCGTTCATGGTCCCACCTTTGTCTCTTTAGAGTCTCGGACTTTTAACGGCTATTCAAAGTTTTTATATGCAGCCTCATCATGCAGTCAATCGCGCAGAAAAGGGGGGAGATACTTCTATATAGTAATTACCTTTCAATAAGAATCTTTTCAGAATTTTAATAAGAAACTGTGCATCGAAAAAGTCAAGCGATATAAATTCGTGGAAATTTTCCTTGATTTTTGGTCGACATCTCTCGAGAGAGGCAAAGACAGAAAGGGTTTCTCTTAGCAAATATATTATTCGATCGTGTACGCGCGAGATCACATTCCATTAATTTCCGAAATTTAATTAGATAATATAGATAGGAAAAGTAAAAATTTTATTCGCATATTTTGTCTACGCTATGTTAGTTACGGGCTAAGCCTGAACGAATTTTTAGGCACGCAAGAAACCACCGTCGTAATCGCGATTGTTTGCATCCCGTCGGCGATCGCTAAATTAATTATCGTCCGCATATGCCGCGTCGCATCTCATTTAAAGATTAGTAACGCATTCTCCGCGTTACGCTTACCTTCTGTTTTGGTACCACGTTTTCACTTGCGTGTCCGTCAGCTGCAGTTTCGCCGCCAGTTCCATTCTGTCCTGAACGCTAAGGTACTTTTGCCGCTCGAAGCTCTTCTCGAGGGTTTGAAGCTGGTGATCCGTGAAAGCTGTGCGCGCTTTACGCTGCTTCTTACTCTGCGCGGAACCCAGGGAACTAGAGGACGAGCTTTTAGGATCATCCTCTTTGCCACCTGAAATTGTAAGATTGTCGGTTGAACCTTCCCTCTTGACCTATCCTTCTTGTTGCGTAAATCAACTATATTAAGGCTGGTTTATCTGTCGAAAAAGTGGCAATAATAATGTTAATAACAAAATGTGATTAACGTGTTTTGTATCTTGTTGAAAACAATTGTTTTCAGAGCAATTTTAAACGAGAAAATCTACATTTGTCAGTGCTAGAAACACACGTTATTCGCAATGTTATTACTGATGTAAACCAGCCTTTAAAAGAAAAGAGGAAAACGCAAATTTCATTTATTCAATTATACAAATCTACAAATAAATAACAAAATTTCATATTCGCGCAACTCCATATTTAGATAGGTTCGCTCTTGAAAAAGTATCGATTCAAAATTTATTTTCCAAGAAATAACATTGGGAAGGATTGCAAAAATTATGACAATAATTTCTCGAAATTTTTCCCATGTACGTTTCGCAGAGTCCGTATATCACGCGATATACTGGCGCAATCACTTTGCCAAAAAGATCGCTATAAAGAGTCGCCGGTCTATCATCGGGCCCAGGGACTGCGAAGTACCGAGGGCGGCTTTTGTTTTCGCGGAGGGTGGAATCGATGCCGCGCGCGTGGGTTATACGTGGTGGTTGTTTTTGCCGTTGCCTGCATGGCGATTGCAGCCACCTCTCTATCGACGAAAGAGAAAGAGAAAGAGGGAGCGAGAGAGAGACGGACAGATAGATAGAGAGAGAAAGAGAGACAGAGATCCTTTTGTTCTCAGTTCGACTCTCTGCGCGCAGCCGAGAGCCGATTGGCTGGTACCGCGGATTGGACCACGCAGCCGCGTCGAGACGCCGCAAATTATCCCCCCGGTACGTCGCCGTATTCGGGGAGAGATAGGGAAAGAGAGGGTGGGATTCCCCGAGGAAACCGATTACACCCGATACAAGTCACGCTCACACGCGGCACACAATCGCACCGCCCGTGCCCATTTTATCTCCCGCGAACCTCGTTACACCGTCGCCCTTGTTTCGCTCTTCTGGGGAGAGAACGCGCGTCGATGACGACCAGATGATATTCCATTTTACGCTTCATTTTGACAAAGCGTAAAATCGCGAACGATTATTAGAGAGGAAAAGGTGGACGGTGCCGGTAACATGGCGTGAAGAGCACGAGGCACACGAAGCTTGGACGCTGTCCAAAATTTCGGAACTTCGATCGAAGCGTCGAACGAGCGCATATTCGCCGTAACACGACAAAATAACCGTGTACGTGTGCGAGCGTGATCCACACACACACACACACACACACACACATACGCGCGGGGCTTATCCGGCGCGTACGGTACATATCGACTCCTCGAAGAGCCACAACTTCCGCATCGCGCGATGCAGACATTTAGAGTACATTTTCGAGATAGAACCCTCCGCTTCGTGATACAGACCGTCCAACCCTCCTCGAATTATCCCGCAGCGGGGAGGGTGTGTCTTGTCGCGAGTAAATCGAGCAACCTCTCCGAGAAGTCCCGATCAGAAAACCATCGAGACCTAACCCCCGGAGGGAATAGAAGCCCGACACAGGCTCCTGAAAGTATCTAAAGGCCCGTTGTCGCGAGCTCATCGATTGGAACGGTCGTGGATGGCGCGGGAGAGAGAGAAGCATCCTGTAGAAGTAGGTGGGAGAAGCGGGGTGGGATGATGCAGCCAGGAATAACACACAGCACCGGAAGGGTGGCGGCGAGAACAGGGGAGAGAACGAGAGAAATGGCGATAGAGAGAGAGAGATAAAGATAGATGGATAGATAGATAGAGATGGAGATAGTGAGAGGGAGAGAGAAAGAGGTCGGGGAGATAGAAAGCTAGTGGATTGAGTTAACCCGGACGAAAGCGCGGCTCTTAGCCCCCGTTTGATCGGCCAGATTCGCTCGAACGGCTCCAGAACCTGCCGCGCCATGTTGGCTAACGTAGCGCGCGCGCCCGATCCCCTCAGGATACCCTCGGAGCAAGAACTCGCGCCCTGGTTGCATCGGCACCGTTTCTCTCGATTCGACTCGACTTGACTCGGCTCGAGCTCGACTCTCGAGACTCGTCCGCGAAATAGAGAAAAGGGGTGGCCGCGAGAGAGTGGCGGGACGTGAGGAGTGGCGGCAGCGGAACGGTGGAAACGGAGGTTGGAAAACTAAATTTACTATGTGATACACTTAGAGCCCAGGTCCCAACCGACGTTGGAGTTCTCCTTTTGAGACACTTCCAAGACGTTAGGCGGAACTTTTCCACCCCCGGCTGCCCGCCTACTCACCCTCTCGCCTCTCGCTTTATCTCTCTTTCTCGTTCTCTCCCTTTGCGCGCGGTAACTCGAGAACCATCGCGAAACATCCATCCCTCTTTTCCCCGGCAGCGAGTGGATACGTTTTTCCTGGCCGCGCGCGCCGTTCGTCTGCGAGGCACGTAGACCTGGGCTCGGGGCTTATCTGTGTTCGTCTCGTCTTTACGAGCGTGTTCATGCGCCACTCTTTACTCCGCGTTTTCGCTTTGATGCGAAACGCCGACGCCCGCGATCGGCTTTGCGCAAAGTGGCTTCCATCCCGACGTCCACTCGACGTCGCGATCCGCGATCGTGCGCCTCCTGCATCTCGATCTCTTCCGTGTTGTGGATAAAATTGAAACGCGGCCATCGAGACGTAACGCGTTAGAGCCGGCTGATCGGTTGAACGTGCGCTCAGTATTTCCCGCTAAGAAGAAAAATTGCAGAAATTATTGCGCGGATCATTCTCGTAATTAGGTCATTCCTTCTATATAGCGCTATTTTTTCGCAACGTTCCGCAGTCTAATAATTTCCTCCATTGTAAGAGATCGATATTTTTTCTCGCGCGCAACAATAATTCAGCGTTGCAAATTCCGCGCGTTATTCATTACGCCGTAAAGCCATCTAATTACGGATATTTGCGATATTACCCGCGGTTCCATCAATATAATTATACAACGGCATATTACACGTCGAAGCGGACTCGTCAGATAAATTTTCTTCGCGGACATAAAGTGCGCCTCATCGCTCACGACGAAGCGTATCGTTCATCGTGCAAGACAATCGCTCGAATTGCGTGCTCGTAACGATCGAGCGAAATTTTCAAACATTAAAACGTATCGGTTCCGCGTGAGACAGCGGCTTGACAATTCGTTCAACGAATCTCTCTCTCTCTCTCTCTCTCTCTCCCCTTCTCTTTCTCTTTCTCTCACGCATAGAATTTCACTCAAGATGTCGAGATCCTCTCAAGATGTTACCGAAAACTTTGTCTAGACACTGAAGTAACTCTAGCGCCTTCTTCCCTCTTTTGGGAGGACAGTTTCCCTTCATCTTCCCACCTTTTGCCACGACGTCGCAAGGTTTATGCCATTTTGCGTGTAGTTAGAAAGATGTTCATGGTGATTTCTTATACGCCATCTTCGGTTCAAGATATAAAGCTAAAGGATTCTCGAGTAATCTGAATTGCTCGCGGCGTTGAATTTATCATTTCAAAATAATCGGCTTTAATTTCTCGTACATTTTATACAGATAAAATTTAAAAATATTCGGTTTTTCTACGCGACTATAATAATTACACCGCTATGATAAGAAGATTAAAAAATATGGCTCGTATTACTTCAATTAGTTATTTTGTGCCGTGTCAGAAATGAAGCTCAGCTTCACTTACCTGCGACTAGCGGAAGATTAATAACGTTCCCGATATTCAAGTAGAGCAAGAACCAGTTTTCCAGACACGCGCTTTTTACCACGGTATTGTTCCCACGAGACGCGCGACAGAAGCCCCGCGTAAATTAACGCCAACGCTCGCTCGGGGTATTCGCTTTCCATAAGTCACGACGGTAAACGTTATTTCCACTGTCAGCCGGCGAAATGTATTTTACCGAGGTCCTCGGAAACATGGCGCCGTAACGGATGCGGCGTGTATACGCGCCAGTGAAAATCATGACGTGTTCCCAAGTCGTATTACGCGAAAGAGAAAGAGCAAGGGAGAACGAGAGAGAAAAAGGGAGGAAATGAGGGGGACTTGCGTGCTACGGGCATTGCCGCGGCACAATGTATGGCGCATAAAAGTGAGATTAACAGGATGTTTATCGAGCAATTATGCGCCGCTGCAATTAGTGCCAGCATGTTGCCGTCGTCGTCCACGTCGCGGTCAAATCGTTCACATCGTCATTACGGTGGTCTTCGCGCGAGTTGCGATGCGATTTGCGAGAGAAAGATGCATACATCTCGACTAATTAAGTCGCGATATCAAATCGAAACGAGATCTCAAAGACATGTCGCGAAAGATAAGTTTCCCTCCCGTTTATTTCTTATCTTGTATATCTTAAACTCGCGAATGATCCATAAATATTCGTTCTTTATATATAGATCCTTACGCCTTTTACCTTTACTGAGTCTGCCGACTTGAACCGACGGTGGCTTTGATCTCCGCGCTTTATATCAGACGAATATTCGAACGATTGTCAATACGAATTACGTCCGCGCAAGCGAACATTTGTAGACAAGTGAAGGAATCACATCATCGACATATGAAGCGTATAAGTGCAAACCGGTGAATTACCAAACAATCGTGCTCTTTGACATCGTTAATGGGCCAAGAACTTCACATGGAACTCACGGGCCCCGCGACAAATGTGCAGGATGCCAAGAACGCAGCGTTAGCAATCACAACTGACACAGTAAACTGGACGAATCGTAAAAATGGGAACGTAAAGTTTGCGCAAAGCGTTGCCTCGCACTTTACGATCTTGGTAAATTAGGACAGGGTAGAAAGCTCCCTGAGACCGAGGAAGGAAGCAGAAAAGAGAAAGAAAACGGATACGGAGAAGCCGGAATTCCTATTGTGCCGCGATTTTATTTGCTCATTCCTTTACTTCGCACTGAATATTTCGCGTAAACTAGTCGCGGACATTAAGAAGCTGTGCGCGTGTATCTGTACGTATGCCGAGTTTATTTCATTATTAAAATAGGTAATTGTTGGTAATCATG